ACGACTTGGCAAAAAACTGATATTATTGGCGTTCTTGTTGTCCTTTCTTATCCAGCCAGAATGCTTGAAATAGTATGTATGCACGGTTGAACTGTCTACTCTGTGTTCACCATAGAGATTCGCTTTCTTTCCTCCTGCCTGAAAATGGGCCCATTCCATGACCACCGTGCACATTCTCACTCATCTCATATACATTGTGAGTTGGGCAGCCGTCAGGCTAGTTCACTTCATTGTATTTCGCTGCATAACAATGATGATGATGATATAATACAGCTTTAAGGTGTTTTTCAAAAGGATTTTGGAGTGGCGAATGGAACATTGATTGAGCAGCACAAACTTCAATTTTTCAAACTATCCGATTCCCACTAAACGAAGTGTTCATATCAATACGATTGTACACTATTTTTACATTCAGTTACAACCTTACTCAGAGTTGCTTGTTCCTCACATTCCAGGCCGTGACGATCGAACCAGAAAATTACGGTGCTATCGAATCGCTTCTTCGTAGTCGTATAAAGGGAAAGTTTTGCATTGACATTGTCGGTAACACCAAACACAGTGTTAAATCATCTAGACAGCACGAGCAACAAAAACTTCCGGTTCAAGGTGACCTGGAAAGCTCTAAACCTGGTGTGATTGCGGAATCTGTTTCGGCTGCGGTCCAGTCAGCCACCGCCGTCGAACCCCAGTCGCCAAAATCTGAATGCCGTAGTACGCCAGACCGGTCAGAACCGACTGCAGCCAAGTCGGAGGTACTCCCTGCAAAATCTAACAAGCAACAACAACAAAGACGTCGTAAACACGGACGGCGCAAGGCCCGGGATGACTGGCCGGATGACGATGACTAACAACCGTGAACAGTAAAATGCAATTCTCAGTCCACTTCAAGATATACATACAAGTGCCTTTTTGCATATTTCACGCTTTTCGTGCTTTTCTTCTTTGTCTCTTATTGCTCTCCCGCTACACGTTCCATGTAATTTTGACCAAAAAAGAATAAATGATTTATTTCCTATATTCAGACATTGCCTTACTGTTCATTCGCTTACTTCGACTGACCGGTGCTCTAAGGCTCTTGCTTCAACCACCGATCTTTCAGCATTTATTTGAAAACTTGTCGATTGGGAAAAATCGGACGGTTGTTTACACTTTCGAATGTCCAAATTTTCTTCATAGATGGTTTTTACCTTCCCATCAACACAGAGCACAGAGAATTTCTTGGTGAAATTCCTCCTCTCTCCCATCTCTGTCCCAGTTTAACGGCCATCTCCGCTTTTGCGGATGCACTACGAATATCTCAGGCGGCTGAGGTG